TGCTTCCATAAAGGAAGGAACAGGACACTGAGTGTGTAGAAGCAGCAGGTCAGGAGGCTGCCATTCCATTCCCCTTGAGAAAAGGCAGCAAACCACATTGCCATGTATGTACCTGTGCAACAATCCTGCATGTTTTGCACATGTGCCCCAGAACCTAAAGTGCAATAATTTTTTTTTTTTTTAAAGCAGAAGGCTTGGAGCTGCTAGAGGATGGGAGAGAGGACCAAATCAAAGAGTACTTGGGACTGAACTTGTCAGGACTAGTCACCAGATGAGGGGGGATTAAGAAATGGGAATGTTCACGGATGATGACAACACTAATTAAGATTGGGAAATGCAGGGAGAGATCGCAGTTCCTGGGAGGAATGAATTCCACCTTGGGTATGCTTAGCTCAAGTGTACCCAGGGACACATGCACACTCCATATGCATTTTGGGAAGACTGGTCTGGAGCCATCAAGACAGATGTGAACCTGGAAGTAATGGGCACAGCTGAAGGAAAGCTATGGAAAGACAAGATGTAGGGCAAAATCCTAAAGACCTGTAAAGGACACATCCAAAGGCCAAGTACCAAGAGCAACAGGATCAATCTTCTAAGAAGTGTAACAATGAGTAGAACTGGGGGGTGGAAGGTAAGAAAGGAGCAGTCACTGTCTAATGTCATAGGACAGAAAGTCCAAACCCAGTCATCCGATTTGGCAACTGCAACTTCATTGATGACCTTAGTGACAGTCAAGAGGCAGAAAGCAACATTTTATAGATCGGGAGACTAGGTCTCAGTGCTTAAGTGATCTATCTAAAGTCATGAAGCTTAAGTCATACATTTATCCAGTAACTGCCAGATAACTGTACAGGAGATACAAAGATGTGGTTCTGAAAGAACAAGGGGAGAAAGTTACAGACACAAAGCTGGAGTACAACTTATTAAATGCTAGCTAAGGCAAAGACCTAGGAGCAACACAGAGGAAGCAGCAGTCAATTCTCTGACAGGAAGTGGGTTTGTGGTGGTGGGGCAGAAAGGGGGGCCTCCCAAAAGCATACCTGGCACTGGGCCTTATAACTGAGCTATGAGGGATAAGGACAGCCAGACCATGGCAGGGGCTCTAGGAAGAGGGACCAGCATCAATCACATCAAGAAAAAATTCTGTAGGAAATTCAGATGGAGAAGTGAAAACTGTTACATCACCAGAAAAGATGGGAAGATATAAACACCCAGACATTCAAATAACTGTTCTGAAAGGTCTTCAACATGAAACTTTCCCAAACAAAACATCTTATAATCATCCTTTTATGGGTGGGGAAGGCCTGAGGAGGCAAATGAATGCAGCAGAGAAAGAAACAGTGAGAGAGAACACAGGAGAGTATACCACCAAAAACTGAAAGGGAAGTTTTTTGTCGTGAAGATTAACACAAAGGTATGGCTTATATATATATATATGTGTGTGTGTGTGTGTGTGTGTGTGTGTAAATTTATAACAAACGTTATTACATTTCACAAAATCTAAGTTATCCTCAATGCTCATGTGAGATCAGTGCTATCTCCACTATAAAAGGAAACAGCAAGTATGGCAGATTTGTTACCTCAAACTCTGGGCTCTCCATCTTACACATTTTTCCTTTTAGCTCCAAAGTTGAACCTGATGTTACCATTTTCTTATTTTCACTAAGGGTGCTTACACTTTAAAGTGTGGCTGAGAAAAGGTAAAACTCTTACTCACAAATTCACATGCTGTCTCTACAATAAATTGTGTATTTTCTCTACCTTTTTATGCCTAAGCTCTCTTACAGGAACATGAGAAGGGAGTTCCCATGTTCAAAATCCCTATCAAACCACACACTTACACATAATTGAGCAATTTTCTGACCACATTGAAAGTGTATCACTGTTCAGTATGATAGCCTCTAGCCACATGCCCAACTGTCACATAAGCCCAACAAAAGCTTGTAAATTACCTCTACATCAGAATTAAGCATTCTACAAGAAGCCAAAAATTAACGTAAACTAAAAAAGCTTTAAGTTTCAAGGTACACTTTTGAAACCTTTAAAATACAAATTAAACAGAAATAAGACACTATTATATACCCACCAGATTGCCCAATTTTTTAAGTCTCGCAATACCAAGACAGACTATGACGTAGAGCAAGGAGATTTCTCACACATGGCCAAACACTACTTTAGAGAAAACCTCAGTATTTTCTTACAGGATTGAAAACAGTCCTATCCATGACCAACCACTCCGATACCCACATGTCTAACATGGGGTAGGAGATACATGTACAAGAATATTCAACACGATGTTGTTCATCATAGCCAAATGAGAAAAAAAAATTAAACAGCAAAATGGCTATATAGTCGTATATCCACACAATGACAAACTACACAGAAAAATGAAAGTGAAGGAACTATAACTTAGAAAAAGAACTGAATTCAACACATAATGTTGTGCAGAAGAAACCACACATCTCTTGAATCACTTAAGAATACATTATAACATATTAACATATTTCACAGAAGCTCCATAAACCATTTGTCTAGGAATACCTACAACATTGATAAAATTATGAAGAACATGAAAGTAATTACCATTGAAGTCACTAGAATATTGCCTATGAAAGGAGAGAACAGGTTACAATAGCGACAAACAGAACTTTTGTGGGCTGGTAATATTCTACTTTTGCCCAGGGTGGTTACACAAATACCAGGTTTTTAGTTTTGTGTTAAATCTTATGTGTTAGTTATAGTAACACTAGGTAGTATAATAAATGGACTCAAAAAAATATTTAATGGCTGAACTGGAAACAGGTTTACATAACTGTCCAAAGCAGATACCCCTCTCAAGGAACTTCACTTGAATAAATGGAAAAGCACACCATTCTTGGATAGGAAGACTTAGAATCATAAAGATGTTCATTTCTCCTTATTTTAATCATTAAGTCCATGCAATAAAAATGTCCATAGGCTTTTTCAAAACAAAATTATTTTAAAAATAGAGAACTATAAGTTAAAAATCAGAATAAAGTAACATTTTCACTAATCAGATAAACTCTAGTAGCACTCTGTACTGTTGAGTGGATAAGGAAATAGACACACTAAAACCTTGTTGGTAGAAGTATATACCGATAAAATTTTAATTGACAACTATTTGGAAATGTGGGAGATGATGTATTTACATATATGTATTATGTACTTCAGCAATGATATAAGAAAAGTGGCAGGGACTACTAAAGCATGTTACGTTCAGTCGATGGAGTGAATGCTCTACAGCCATCATGAAGAATGAGGCAGTCCCGTAAATACTAAGATGAAATGATCTTTTAGATACCCAGGAACAGCAGGTCTTTTTTCTTGCTGGCTTCACTACTGATAGAGTCATCTTTGGTAAGGTAAATGCAGAACATCTAATTCAAGAATA